TAAAAATAAAAGGGTTAAACCACTGAATCTGGCAACCCTTACTCTCGATAACTTCTTCATGCGCATGCGCAGTACTATCAGGGCTATAGTAGGGATGGGCGATACCACTTCCAATTCAATGCATATTGTACGCATTATTATTATTTATTTTTTTGTTAAATTAACAAAATCACTGGTAAATAAAACACACCTTAGTATCGATATTTTCTGTTTGAGTATCGATACTTTCGATACTCGCGTCAGTATCGATATATCGATACTTTGGATCTATACGCCCATCCCTAGGCTATAGAAGATGTCATTCGCCAGAAGACTGCTCATAAGCGCCCCTAAAACAGCGTCATTTCACCTTTTCAAGTATGCACAATTTAGCGAAATGGCAATAATACATTCAGGATGTGTTGTCTCATATAATACGTCTTTGTTTGGTACTTTATCTTCAAATAATAGCTAATGCACGTAGCTTAGCTAGCTAACTTAGCTTGAGAACAGATGCGATAGTGAGCTAACAGCACAGATGATATGATTTGATAACTTAAACTAGCACTTATGGTTGTCGACTAATTATCAACACATTTGAATTAAAATATTTAAGTGATAGTTAAATTACTCGTTTGATTTCAGTTTCTTAAAAACGTATCCGTTCTGTTAACACACACATATAAAGCCAAAGCTTTTTAATCTGTTTTATAGTTATTTTTTATGTACGTTAATACAATCCTATTGTTATTATTGTGCATGTTAGCCATGCGTTATTGTGTGTGTTTGTTGTTGTCCAGAGTTCAGACAGTCCGAACATGTTCAGCTCCTCTCACCTCCACCGCGCGCTACTGCAGCGCCTCCTCCACCAAAGAGGAGCCCCAAAACCCCTCCAGCAGCAGCCCAGCGGAGAACATCCGTCTCAGTCAATCCTGTCTCAAGGTTTGATCATCCCACCTGCACTTCATCTTAGATACTTCAGTGATCACATTTTTGGGAGTAACAGATAAACCAGTCATAGTAGACATGGACAACAATAAATAATCAAATTAAAATGTTGATTATTATTCCTGCAGAGGCTCGCTGAGATTATGGAAAAGGGAGAGTATCTGAGGATAGCAGTGGAGGGAGGCGGATGCTCAGGATTCCAGTATAAATTCGCAGTGGATACTGTTAGAAATGAAGACGACAGGTAATTACTAATAGGGCTTGGAAAAAAAAAAAAAAGGGGTTAATATTAATTATTAATCATAAAGGTCAATTTTGAGTTGTTTTTCAACATGGAGTCAGTCAAAGATGCTTAATGTTTTTCATCAACCTCAGGAGGTCAATATCCAGTTATATTTTACAAGTATTTTTTATGAGTTTTGCAGCTATGTTAGTAATTGTTAAGACGTGACTCTGATAACAGTTTAAACACATGATTTTATTTTCTAACAATAAGCATTAAGTAAACATGAGAGAATCCACAATTCTTGTTTATCAATTCTAATAAATGTAAAAATAAATTTTTTTAAAGTATTGTTTATGTATAATATAAATCAATGGTAATGGTATATAATTATTTGTTAATATAAAAAGTAAAATAGCTGTTTTATAATGTTTTATACAAAAACTTTTGTAACAGATGCTATAGAAAGAGTACAAATCAGCATTAGTTTAGTTATTGATAGACTATTATGGTTTTTGATAATATTTTGAATTAGATTTTATTTTGTATTTTCTGCTTTCATGTATATATTTCTCTAAAAAAAATCACTTTTATTTCTGTTTTAGTTATTTTGGTACATTAAGTGATTAATTATTGTAGTACATTTAGTGTAAACTAAATGAAAATGAGAGATGTTGCCTTGGAGACTTGCTGAAATAAGTTTGTTTTTCATATTTTATTTTTTAAATAAAAATTTCAGTTATATTTCCGTTAACAATCACCCTCGCACACCTGTATGTCATTGATAGGTGCGTAGGAAAAACGACCAAAAAAGGTCCAACTTCAAAACAAAAAAAAAGAATGAGTCACACTATCCTGACTTGCGAAATCTATCAAAATATTTATTAACAAACAATGTTTCGGTCCATGGCCATGCCTGATGAAGATCATGAACCAAAACGTTGTTTGTTAATAAATATTTTGATACATTTTGCAAGTGAGGATAGTGCGGGATTCGTTCTTCTTTTTTTTGTTTTGGAGTTATATTTCAAGTTACCATTTTTTTCATTTCTAGTACAGAAACTTTTTTATGGGTTTAGTGTTAATGAAATAAATTTGTTTTTCATATTTTATTTTTTAAATAAAAATTTCAGTTATATTTCCGTTAACAATCACCCTCGCACACCTGTATGTCATTGATAGGTGCGTAGGAAAAACGACCAAAAAAGGTCCAACTTCAAAACAAAAAAAAAGAATGAGTCACACTATCCTGACGAAAGAAATCTATCAAAATATTTATTAACAAACAATGTTTCGGTCCATGGCCATGCCTGATGAAGATCATGAACCAAAACGTTGTTTGTTAATAAATATTTTGATACATTTTGCAAGTGAGGATAGTGTGGGATTCGTTCTTCTTTTTTTGTTTTGGAGTTATATTTCAAGTTACCATTTTTTTCATTTCTAGTACGGAAACTTTTTTATGGGTTTAGTGTTAACAATAATAACACTGGTTCAAATTGTGTTACTAAATAATTAAAACATTTAAATTGCTAAATAACTAAATTATAAAAAATATGTTATACCATATATTACATTAGTTTTTATTTATTTATTTATTTTTTGGATAAATTTAAGGAGGTGAGATCACCATTTAAAAGATGAGGGTACGGATTTTAAACTTGCTAACGTTAATCTAGTTGACCTAACATTTCGAATAGTTCTCTGTCCAAAGAACATCAGGTTTGTGCTAGGGGTCGACCGATTATTGGCGCAGATATTAAGCATTTATATCGCGATACATATTGATATTGAATTATTGTCCAGCCCTAGGTTATCAATATCGGTCATTTTCAAAACCGATTTGCCGATCAAATCATTTAAAAGCATTTAAAGAAAGTTTTTGTCAGCCCTTGTCATTATTAATTTTGACATTAATTTTCAGTTTTGCAACCGACATAATATATCGGTTCAAAATATTGGTTATCGGTCTACTTGATCTGTAATAATCTGTATCAGCATCGGCCCTGAAAAACACATTGATCGACCCCTAGTTTGTACCTTTATTACCAAATCTTAAGTCTTAGTGTTCATACCACAGAAATCCAATATACATACTTGATCATCAGTGATGTGATAATGCAATTTTGTAGATCTTTTGCTTTTATTTTGGTCTCGTTTTTTCCCCAGAGTATTTGAAAAGAATGGTGTTGGGATAATAGTTGACCAGGACAGTCTGGAGTTTGTGAAAGGATCCACCATTGACTTCAGTCAGGAGCTCATCCGTTCTTCCTTTCAGGTGTTGAAGAACCCACAGGCTGAACACGGCTGCTCATGCGGCTCGTCTTTCTCGGTCAAAATCTGACACCCATCTTCTCTCCATCACACTGGTATAGTTTATGAAGTTGTTAGTGCATGCATAGCTATGTGCTTATTGAAGATCAGCCAAAAGCATGATAATAAGCTAACATTAGGGGTTCTGATTTGTTAAATCTATTAATATGACCACAGATGACATAATAGAAGAAAAACAAAAATCAGACCCTGCAGTTGTTAGTGTGTTGTATATAAGGAAGAGTGTATATATATTTCTAATAAAGTTATAATATATGGTTTTCCATTGCCTGTTAAGATCATTCTTTTTGGGGGAATATTCTCAGGGTCATTTGCATAGCTTATCACAGACTATTGTTATGTGATTTGAATCATGTGATAATGAATAGGTCATCATTTAAGGTACAGCTCAGATTTAATGCAAGTAATTTGTTTTTATTACGAAATGTTAGATTAATCACAGAATTGAATCGAAATACTTCCTGATTACATTATAAAAAGTGTAAGTAAATCTCATGTTGTCTTGATCATAAGGAAGTTCGTTATCACAGTAGGTTCTTTGTTTTACGCTGACAAAGTCTTTTCCTGAAGATGATCAAAGCCAACAAATCGTCAAAAGATTTTAAAGGAATCTTCCGGGTTCAAAAGAAGTTAAGCAGGATTTCTGCCAAAAATAATTTTGACTCTGTCCTCGTTATAAGTATGTTACCGTGTAAACTATATTTAGTGTTATAATTGATATGTCACAGATTTGTATTAATGCCAAACGATCAATCAGAATTATATATATATATTTGTATATTTCTGTCATGACTACTCTCGGAGGGATTGGCATGGTAATGTACATGACAATGTTAATGTATTTGGTCTTGGAGGAATACAGGTACATCTCAAAAAATTAGAATACCATGAAAAAGGTCAATATTTTTTGTCACTCATTTCAGAAAGTGTAGCCTACTGACCCAGACTGAGAGACCATTTAAAGGCTCAGGAAACCTTTGCAGGTGTTTTGAGGTAATTAGCTGATTAGGGTGTGACACCATGACTTTCCAATATTGAACTTTTTCACAATATTCTAATTTTCTGAGACACTGAATTTTGGGTTTTCATTATCTGTAAGCCATAATCATCAAAATTTCAAGAAATAAAGGCTTGAAATGTTTCACTCTATGTGTAATGAATCTATATAATATATGGGTTTCACTTTCTGAAATGAGTGACAAAAAATATTGACCTTTTTGATATTCTCATTTTTTGAGATGTACCTGTAGATATGCTACGCTGCTGCGGCAGAGCAAGTACCGAGACTTGCTACTGCCAATACATCCACAACATGCTGCTGTGAGCATGTAAGAAATACTGCTGCTGCACATATAGCATACATGAATCACCTCGTAGCAGATCTATACAGGTGGAGCTGGGGAAGGTGGAGGGTTTCAGAAGTGCGCTGCAAACTGCTACACCAAACAAAAGCCAGGTATTTGAATATTGAGCAGTAAGCTCATTGGCTACCGATACAGGAGAGAACCAATCAGCTGCCATGTGACAATGATGTCGCCAGGTCAGATTGAGCTAGACCTATCGGACTGCAACATCGAGAGTTTCATGTCAGAACTCCGTATATGTACGTGTTTTTTTTTTATTAAATTTGGCTTTTAAGAAACATTTCACAAAAATATACAAAAGAATGTCTTTACAAATGATATTTACATTGATAAGAAAATCAAAATATGAATTAAGCACATCTCTTTCAATCGGAATGATACTGAAGGAGAGAACGCTGCATTTCATATCTTCAGTTCACTCTGAGCCTTGACAATCCAGCTGAGTAAAATGAAAATAAAAACAACACTAAAAAAAATCCTAATCAGAATGAATGTGATGTTGTAAAGGCTTCAGCAGCAAGATGAACAGTGATTTCAGATAAGACAGCATTGAAACAAACTCTTCATTCATTTTCTGAGGGATTGCATTACCATTTTTTCTTTTAAACTTCAATCTCAGACATGAAACACAAAGCATACGGTTCATACCTACTCGCACAGACGCACAAACGGACATCTCAAGTTCACTAATCGAGCTAAAGTTGCTACATATGAGGTTAGGAGTGTCATCTACGGTTTAGGGAGAGCACGTTCAAGATCGACATTAACAGACCACTGGACTACCACAGTGAGCAGGTCAAGTATACAGTGCATAGAATGCTTTGGCATGCTGACATCCTAGAATATAACGCCAGTGTTACATTCAGGGAGAAGGCCACAGGAGATCTAATAAACCTCAAAAAGATCCACCAAACCAAACCAACAGAAATACAACGGAAAACAATCAGGTTATAATAAAAAAAAAAACAGAATCTCCAACAGAAAAACACACCTAAATGAACAAAAACACGCGTAGTTTAAGGCTAATCGTATTTAGCTTGCTACAAGTTCTTTTTCATTTGGAAGAAATTCTTAAAAACATTGATACAGATGGACTCCAAAATAAATTACGTTCTGCAACTTGTAGCTCAGGATTTTTTAAAAAAACAAAACAAAAGGGGGTAAACACATACACATCTGATAGATCTTTTACTGTACGCTGGGTCATGTGACACCTTGACCCAACTATCATTCAGAAACGCTTGAGTTCAGGTATGGGTGACGGCTCATAAAGACGCATGCATCCGGTCACGGAGCAGACGGGTGGAGAAAACTCTGTGAAATCCACCGCCTGATGTTCCTCATTCCACGAGTCGGTTCACTCGTGCTGTCAGCTGGGCTTGTGATGTTTTGAGGCAGAGGAGAGGAGACTGCATGCCATCAGTGAGAAGCGTGAACACACCGCCATACAAACAGGCTGAAAGACACAGAAAACTTCTTCATTGTAGAAACATTTATAATACTCACTTTAGTGCAGCTCCCAGTAATTCTTGGTTCTGATTGGTTAATGACAGCATTCTGCAATCAAGTGTATTATTAACCGTTGCCGCTTCATGTCTGTTTCTTCATAGAACTTCATAGAAAGTTTGGTGTCCATTTTTTATGAATGTATTTGTTCATTCACTCATTCAAATTTCACTTGGCAATATGGCAAAAAGTTAATTTTGGATCCTAATTTTGCAGTCATGGGTCATTCCAAAATATTTTTATACTGTATATGCATAGTAGACATTTACATTGTTACAAAAAAATATTTTAAAAAAAATATTAAATATAAGCAGCACAACTGTTTTCAAGATTGATAATAATAAGAAATCTTTCTTGAGCAGCAAATCAGAATATTAGAATGATTTCTGAAGGATCATGTGACACTGAAGACTGGAGTAAAGATGCTGAAAATTCAGCTTTGCATCACAGGAATAAATTACATTTTAAAATATATTTAAATAGAAGAAGTTAAAATTGTAATAATATTTCACAGTGTTACTATTTTTACTTTGTTTATTATACTATGTGTGTCTGTATACACACATACATGTACATACGTGTGTGTGTGTGTTTAAGGTCTAACAAAGGTCTAAGGTCTAGATTTTATAGTTCTGGGTCGAAAGAACAGAACAAAATTGTTTTTGTTAAAAGTGTTCCAACTAAACTGACAACTGGACACACAGTGAAGCAAACCAATGAAACTGTCTCAATACGCTGATTCAAAAAAGGAAGAATAATAAAGAAATTACAGCAATATGGGGCCTGTGAGGAACAGAATGAAACCACAACAGAACAAGCACCTTCTATCATCGCCTCCGGCGCTGACGACAAAGCGATCCCCGTTGGTGAAGCGGATGTTGGTCAGGTGGGCAGAGTGGCCCAGAAAACGTTTGTGTTTGGCCTGAGGAAACAGATTCTAGTCAGACAATTTGCGATTTTATTTTTGAAAAAGCAGAAATGTGTGCAGCACAGGTTAGAGCACGGATATATAATGGACATAAACATTTTAAAATCCAATTAAACAGCTGAACTTTGGCTGTTGAGAGAATGTTTTGATCTGTGTTGGCAAGAACTGTCACATCCAGCCCTTTTTACTGTCTTGTGATGTACTGTCACGTGTTATTGCATTTTCTCAGCATTCAGTAAAATACAATATGCAGAGACAGCGGAAATTAGTCTGTGGTTTCTATTTATGTGTAGGAACAGCACTATTGGCCATTGTGGAGAGGGAAGTACACTTTAGCATACTTAAAAAAAAAGAGTACTTATTACAGAAATAAAATACTTTCAATTATACCATGGTCTGTCCGAATACTCGCTTCTGATTGGCTGGTAGGTATGCGGTAAAACCGTTTAATGCACAGGTAGTTCCAATTCAGTTTAATCACCGTTCTATATGCGCTTTAATTGATGCACACAAACCCACACACAGAGAGAGAGACAGACAGAGAGAGGGGTTGGAGATCGCAAATCGCACTGTGCACATACAGAAACTTGTCGTCAACGCTGCCCCACGAGTTTTATTAATAAAATAGCCTAGATACTGGATCGCTACATTATATTCCTCAGCAACGAGGTGGTAAAATAGCTGTTTGTGAAGTAACTAAACACAGCTTCATTGTTTGTAGAGAGAGACGCGCAGACGGAGGTAACTCACACACATACATCTCTCTCTCTCTCTCTCTCTTTCTATTGATCGATAATTAATTGAAATAAATGCTGTAATTCATTCAAATAAATGTGATCTTGCCGCACTACTTCATCCGTCTCTGATTTGAAGCAGGCAGAATGCTAAAGCTAACGAGCCGTAACTGACAAAAATAACCGTTATTTTTTTTACCCTTCCGGTCAAATTTTTTGCACTTCACGTCGGGTGGTTCTTGGCATAGATATATATACATAGACGCCTCATTAGCGACCATTTCTATGGGCCGCGATACATAAGCCATCCGCCATTTTTGGAACGGTCTGCGAATCCTCGAGCGCAAGTTAACTGTGTGTGTCTACAACAGCAAATCTTTGAATATCCATTGATTATTATGGTGAATGACGTCAAGTTGATATTCCAAAATGGCAGACGGGTCAACGTATCTGGAGAGGTCATCTCTACATATCTATGGTTCTTGGCCTCCACGTCGTGCATTAAAATCGTTTAATGCACAGCTAGCCGTGCATTATCCCTTACATAATATATTTAAGTGTGAACTGAATGTAATGTTTTCAGACACTTCATTAGATGTTATTTACAATCAAATGAAAATGTATTTGTTTAAATTTATATTAAATATAATTAGCTGAGCTCTAGAGTGTTTTTTGACCCACTTAAGTTGGACTTGAGCACAAATTTATATGTGATTTCATAATTATTTTACAATAATATGGTTAAAGTCATGTATTTAAATATATTTGTAATTGCACATTTGTAATGAAGTTGCAATTTAGTAAATGTAAAATATATTAAATTTAAGTGCAATATCAAATGCACTACATACTACAGGTAAAATTATAATCAAATACTTCACACATGCTTTAGTATGTTAGTCAACATCAAAAATGTGCACTTATTCAAAGCGCAAGATTATTAAAAACATAATTGAAAATATCCTTTAAAGTAAATCTTTTAATTTGACATTATTACACTTTTTAAATGTGTAGCATTTTTACGTCTTCTTTTTAAACTCTAGATGGGACTTTTGTCAAACTCTTTGTATGGCAGAAATCAATAAAATTGTGATTGAAGCTCAACAATTATGAAATACCATCAACAAGTGAAGCCCACCTTCATTTGTACAAATATTCATAAGATCACCAGAAGCAAACATCATTGTTACACATGTAAGTTGTCCACAAGGTGTTCTGTTATTGTGCGTTGTCATATTTTAAAGGATTTTATGGTGATACTTTATAAATGATAAGAGGAGAAGAGGACAGAGGAGTGGCAGCGTGTCTAAATATCCATAAAATGCCCATGTACACATTTGTAGTCATAAGGTAAATACAGAAAGTAGGCTAATTAACATTTTTACCATCAATGTGTCTAACTAAAAGATGTGATACAGCAATTAATCTAAAAAAAATTAGTGCTTTAGCTAAAGTTACAGAAGATTAACCAACAATCATAATTTGGAGCCATTCGTTTCAAAGCATGATTAAGAATGCGTGATGATTTTTAATTTGTACAGGTTTTAATGATATGAGGGTGTGTAAATGATGACAGACTTCTAGTTTGTGAGTGATCTATCTCTTTAAAGGGATTAAATGTATGCAAAAATACATAAGTTCTTAGTTGTTTTAACCATGCTGTATGTCAGTCTAGACCTTTTTTTTTTTTTTTTTTATAATTTAAGCATTGTTACAAAAGTTGTCCCTGCCAAGTAATTTACTCATGTATGTTAAGTGAAATATAAACAGAAGTAAAAACTAAAATAAAACTAAACTTAACTGAAAAAACGAAATTAAAATTAACAAACAAACAGACTCTGCAAAACAAAGCCATGGATTAGAATGACATGAGGGTGAGTAAATGATGACAGAATCTTCATTTTCTATTCTTAAATCACCATGCATCACAAAAAAAAGTGTATTTTTCACACTTTTACAACACTTTATTTCATGAAAAATGGGGTATACTTACAAATTTCTCTGGACACGGAAAGTCGAACAGCTTTACCATTCCATAGTCATCGCCTGTGACAATGTTGAGGCCGGAGTGAGACACACAAGCGCAGGTTACATCTGCCTTATCTGTGTTCCTGGACCAGATCCCCACCACCTCATCCCCGAGGACACTACAGAGACACCCAAACCAGTAATACAGCAGCCATTGAGAACAGTCACTTTACTGACAGAAGTGGCTTTCATTTTGATTTTACGGGATGCCAGCAGTGCTGGAACCACCAACTGTTACCCAGAAGGTCTATAATAAAGGTACACCAGGCAGCAAAACAAGAAATTTAGCTCGAGTAAGAAAATAAATCAGGAGAAGTGCTGTGAAAAAAGCAATATGCTGCAATCGCAGATAGAATTAGATTCCTCAGATAACCGAGTTAGTTGAAAACAATTCGTAGTGTCATTTTTAAATTCACGTTTTAAATTTGGACAGAATGAGAGAACAGAAATTAATCTAACCTCCTCACCAAAGTAATACTTATGATCTTGAAATCTGATAGAACGACTGCAAGTACAATGAACTAATCTGATTCGCTGGTCTCGATTCAATCAGTGGGAATAATGAAATCTGTACTGTTTGCTTTTCAGCTGCTGATGGGTGAGTGTGTTGCAGTCCGTTACCTTGTCCATGTGGCCCAGGTTATTCTGTCTATCACTGCTTGCTCAGTGACTTGCTTCCCAGAAGGCACCTCATAGACTACACGTTTATAAGCACCAGTAGACAACTGCAGAGAGCAAAACATGCAGACAGAGTGAGTAACTTTGTGTAGAACTGATCTAATGCTCTCTGGCACAGAAACAGCACAGAGAAAGACCTTAAAGGGGTCATGACCTGCCTTTTTATACTGTTCTCTGAGGTCCACTTATAATGTTATCAAGATTTTTACATCAATAAATATTTGGAAGTAATAGACTTATTTTCTGTCCTGTTTTTAACCCCCTCATCAGAACGCTCTGTTTGAATAGGCGTGCCGGATTGTAGACTCGGAGGTAAACGCCCACTGCTATGATTGGCTAACAGTTGTGTATGTTTGACAGCATATACATTCCTCATAGATGGACGCTGCTGTGACTACTCCGCATTTGAACAGTCAATAGCAAATACTTAAACTAATAACAAAACATACTTACAGTCACTGATTCATAAGCACCAGATTGTCATAGCAAAGTCGGAATTTACCCTTTTTTTTTTTTAGAAATAGACTTTGTGCAGTACAGCCAGCCTTGTACTCTTCTTGGTCGTCCATAAAATGCGTTGCACAAATTCGAACATCTGGGTTGTATATATATTAAAATGTACTTAAGTCCTACTTAAGTTGGTCCAAAAAGCTCTCAACTAATGGCATTTAATATAAATGTACATTTTCATTGTATTCTAATTTACAGTATATAATTGCTGTGATAAGTACTCTTTGATAAGTACTACATTCTCTCATACAAACAAGCAAACACACACAAACACAGCTCAACATGCTGTACCTGCACATAGCAGCTGTCAGCAGAAAAGTCCATCTGCATGACAAAGCTAGGGATGTCCCTACAGCAGTTGATGCGGTTGAGCTGCGGTCCTAACGTCAGGTCATAAAAATCTACTGCATTCTCACTGGAACCCACAGCCAGGTAGCGTGAGTCTGGACTGAACCTGAGGAAAAGAAACTTTAATTGTTGCAATAGACCACGTTCATGTCAGAATGAAATAACATTCACCTAGAAACAGCAATACAGAAATTTGTTTCTGCCTGAAATGGAAGTGTCTTTAGTATTTCATAATTGCGACTTCATTCCATTTTTTTTACCCTGCAGTGAAAACATGACTAACCCACCCTCAAAAATAAAATAAAATAAAAATGCATTTTAGTGGCTGAAATTATTATGGATATTTTAATAAAATTAAATAATGCATAATTAGCATCAGTCTCACCTGATATCTTGTATGGCAGAGCGCCGATCTCTCTTCTTCCCCCAGATCTTTAGTGAGGTAACAAGGAGGATGATGAACTCTCCATTCTTCATGCCGATGGCCACCATGTCGCCCTCTGGGCTGTAGCTGACTGCGCGTGCAGGATGACCGAGGTTCACTTTATTCAGCATCTTCTGTTTTTCCATACAAGAGCGCATTTGACTCATCTGGTATCTCTAAAAAACCACTATGCACAGGCATTATATAATTTACCCTCTCTGAAATGTCCCAGAGGCGCACAGTGCCGTCCTCAGCAGCAGACAGGAAGACGTCTCGGGTGGGGTGAGCGAAAGGAAAACTTGAAATCGCATCATATGACCCCTTTAAGTCCTATGTATGCTTAATTTTCCACATTCCTCTCCATCTCGCAAACAGTTGAGTGAGCAAGCCTTTCTTTTCAAATCAAAATCAACCTCATATTTTCAAAACTCAAATCAACCTAATAACACCCCTTAGCTGTTCTAAATTCATGTAAACCACAGCTTTGTGGGCTTTATTGCTTTAATAAATGCTTGTCAGTACATTCAGCAGTACATTTTAACCATATTTCAAAGACAACAGAAGTTATTATGAAATTATATATATTAAAATGTACTTAAATCCTACTTAAGTTGGTCCAAAAAGCTCTCAACTAATGGCATTTAATATAAATGTACATTTTCATTGTATTCTAATTTACAGTATATAATTGCTGTGATAAGTACTCTTTGATAAGTACTACATTCTCTCATACAAACAAGCAAACACACACAAACACAGCTCAACATGCTGTACCTGCACATAGCAGCTGTCAGCAGAAAAGTCCATCTGCATGACAAAGCTAGGGATGTCCCTACAGCAGTTGATGCGGTTGAGCTGCGGTCCTAACGTCAGGTCATAAAAATCTACTGCATTCTCACTGGAACCCACAGCCAGGTAGCGTGAGTCTGGACTGAACCTGAGGAAAAGAAACTTTAATTGTTGCAATAGACCACGTTCATGTCAGAATGAAATAACATTCACCTAGAAACAGCAATACAGAAATTTGTTTCTGCCTGAAATGGAAGTGTCTTTAGTATTTCATAATTGCGACTTCATTCCATTTTTTTTACCCTGCAGTGAAAACATGACTAACCCACCCTCAAAAATAAAATAAAATAAAAATGCATTTTAGTGGCTGAAATTATTATGGATATTTTAATAAAATTAAATAATGCATAATTAGCATCAGTCTCACCTGATATCTTGTATGGCAGAGCGCCGATCTCTCTTCTTCCCCCAGATCTTTAGTGAGGTAACAAGGAGGATGATGAACTCTCCATTCTTCATGCCGATGGCCACCATGTCGCCCTCTGGGCTGTAGCTGACCGCACGTGCAGGATGACCGAGGTTCACTTTATTCAGCATCTTCTGTTTTTCCATACAAGAGCGCATTTGACTCATCTGGTATCTCTAAAAAACCACTATGCACAGGCATTATATAATTTACCCTCTCTGAAATGTCCCAGAGGCGCACAGTGCCGTCCTCAGCAGCAGACAGGAAGACGTCTCGGGTGGGGTGAGCTCCCAGTCCCCAGATAGGACCATCCATGTGGCCGTTCACCAGAATGTTACATGCTGCGTTCTTCTCACCAACCTCAATGATCTCAGCATTCCGAGTGCCTACGAGAATCTTCCCCTGAACAATCAAGGAGGAGGACACAGGGAGCCATACTATTTATCGGGAAAAATAGCCAGCTTGATATTTCTGACTAAGGCTAGTTGGTTCTTACTGGCTTTAGAACCATCATATATGTATGTACATATGCATTTATCTTAGGAATGCACGATATTATCGGACCAATATCGGAATCGGCCGATAATGGCTTAAAATGCAAATATCAGCATCGGCCCAATATATGAAAAATTATGCCGATATGTCTTGCCGATAAGTGGATTAATCACGTCAATCACGTCAGCAGTGCAGTCATTCTTGAAGCAATTTTTGCTTGAATGATGATTAGATTCACTGTTTTGGATCGCTGCATTTACTTTGAGAATGCACGTGCAAGATGATGCCTTCAGTGTGCAACTGTCAACAGTCACTACAGCGCAGCGGCCGGTCTCCCCCGGGTCCTAATGCCCGTCCTGTAAGGCGTTGTATTTACATAGGGGGGTACTGTTGGCCTACTTGTAATAAAATAAAAGTAAAATACACATATCACTAAGAAACTAGTGTTTCTGAATAAAGCAGTATCAATGTCATAAAATTATCAGTGTGTTTTGATTTAAAGGTCAGAAGCTATAGCTTACACATGAAAAAAAAAAAAAATCACAAACATGACACTTGTAAATTAAATAATTTTATATATGCAGATTTATTCATTAATGTTTAAGGTTTTTTTAATGAATTATGAGCTCTAAAAGATTTTCAGAATTTTTACAACTCTTTTGCCTTAGACTATCTACAACTGTTAAATCTTAAAAAAAAATAAAAAAATAAAAAAATAAAAAAATAAAAAATGCAGCGATTGATATATAGGTTTAGTTATAGTTATAGATTTATCATTATTTTCAAAGCTTTCAATGTACTGTCATTATAAAAGAACTAACAAATAAGTTTATGTTCAAAAATAAACCAAAATTAAAAATAATTTGTTTATTCTGTCTGCACAGGAGAGACTTGGTGTTGTTTCCAAACAAAAGGAAATATATCGGTATCGACATCAGCTATCGGCCAAAATGAGTTGAAAAACATATCGGATATCGGCAAAAATCCAATATCGTGCATCCCTAATTTATTTATTTGTTTCCTCTTTCTTCACAAATTCAAATATTTCCCCTCTTTTTTATATTCTATTATTTCTATTGTAGTATTGCTATACTGAAGATTATTGCCATTACTCCAGTGTTTCCTTAGAAACCATTACTTATTATTATGAGTGCTGACAACAGTTAAGTTTTTTTTTTTTGAAATAGCAAAAGTTACATTAGTGAGATTATAAATGTCTGTACTGTCACTGTCATACAGTCCTTGCAGAATAAGTATTATAGTATTATAGTTTGGTATTATGGTATTATGAGTATTAATTTCGTTCAAAAAGTGACTCCGGTATTATGAGTATTAATTTCTTTTAAAAAAATGACTTCAAAAACCTGTTTATTTATTAGATAGCAAAAATGTTGTGGGCGAGATGTTGTGTAATTAATTGCATATGCACAAAAAGAGAAAAATACTAATAAAAATAAATCACAATCATCATAAAATTAAAAAAAATAGGGGGGAAAAAAGTCTGGTAGGGACAAAACAGCACACCAGCAACCCTCATCGGAGTAAATCGTATCTATCAGTACATCATTACTGATAGATTACTGATCAGTACAGCACATATAGGACCACATTTGTAAATAAATAATAAATAACAGGGCTGGCACTATTATCACAGAATTTGTATTTCTACTGAGGAATATTCATTGATGTCAGAAAAACAGCATATGTCTAACTTCTTGTGACTCCTGACCAGAATGTACTCCCAGAGGTCTGTTAGATTTTGCTGTATTTGGCTATAAATTAAGTAAGCTTGGCCAAAGTTCTTGTGGGGAGAAGAATTTACTGAAGGTGTAGTGTAGCAGTTCTTCAGCAGCGATGTCATCCTTCAAGAATCTTGTAAGAATCGTAGCTTCTCCCGAAGTTCTGTCTGTGAGACTAATTGTATGGACCATTTGGTTCACACCTTTACCGAGTTTCTGTTGACTGCATCTGAGGCACAGTCACAATGTAAATGCATCTGACACATAATCTTTCAGGTCCAGTATTTCCCATCCTCTTCAATGTAGTGATTTTGTGTAAGTGCTGTACCTTGCCCCTGCAGACAGAGCGCACACAGTCTATGATCTGGCCCGTCTCCAATCTGAAGGCTCTGCATCGCTTCAACTCCTGATCCCACAGTTTGAGCGCACCACCCTCCTTAGACCTGCAGAGGGCAGCCCACACAAATCCTCTCATTTACTACAGCAGCTTTTGAGAATGCTCATGCAGATTCAGAGAACAAACTATTTCTGTTAAAGATAGTGGGAAAGGTCAAGCCACTTACGGTCGTTCTTTGCCCCCCGTCACAATGAGCCCGTCACGTAATGTGGTGTACATGGTGAACACAGGTCCAGTGTGAGCCTTAGCCACGATTCTCACTAGAACGTGTTCCTTCCACACACACACATCTCCACTAATGGTACCTGTAAATGTCAAGTTATTCTGAAAAGAAAACAAACCTGCACTAATCTAGTGACCTCTAAGAGAAAAACAGCACAAACATGGCAAAGCACAACATTTTCATATCCGTTCACTCATACTTCTACACCGAATCTTTAAAAAAGTAAAACGTCATTTTTTAAGTTACAATCATAAACAACTTTTTGAATTAATTACTGATTTAGCATCTTGTTCATTTAAGCTCTGACACACAAGTGCACAAACAAATGCACACGTATGCATGTATACATAAATATCTACTCACACACATTCCACATTCATTAAAAGGGATAGTTCACCCAAAAATAAAATTCTGCCATCACTTGCTCATCCTAATTTCGTTTCTAACCTTTATGACTTTCTTGCATTGTGAAACACAGAAATAGTTATTTTGCAACTCTCAAATCTCATTCTGTGTGTGTGTATGTGTGTGTGTGTGTGTACCTGGTATTTATCACGTTATGGGGACCAAATATCCCCACAAGGATAGTAATACCAGTAAATTTTGACCTTGTGGGGACATTTTTTGGGTCCCCATGAGGAAACAAGCTTATAAATCATACAGAATGAATTTTTTTGAATATCTAAAATTGCAGAAAGTTTACTGAGAGGGGTAGATTTAGGTGTAGGGTTGGTGTAGGGTGATAGAAAATACAGTTTGTACAGTATAAAAACATAAAAACCATTACACCTATGGAATGTCCCCATAAAACACAGAAACACAGCGTGCGCGCGCGCGCGTGTGTGTGTGTGTGTGTGTGTATGCGTGTGCGTGTGCGTGTGTGTGTGTGTGTGTGTGTGTGTATTAAAATATGGAATACACAACTGTTCAAAAGTCTGGGATCAGTACATTTTTTAAAAAGAAATTAATACTTTTATTATTATTCAGCAAGGATGCATTAAATTACTTTCTATATATCAAATAACACTAAAAAAATAGTTTCTTGAAAAATATTAAGAAGCACAACTTTTTTAAACATTGATAATAATAAAAAAAATGTTTCTTGAACACCAAATCAGCATATTAGATCCATGTGACACGGAAGATTGGCATAATAGCTGCTAAAAAACGGAATCAGAAAAAATTTACATAAAAAAACTGCAATAGTTCACAATATTACTGTTGTATTGTATTTTTTAAAAATAAGAGATTAAGAGAATGGTTAAAACATTTTAAAAATCTTACCGATCCCAATCTTTTGAATGGTACTATATATAGAGCTTATTTTCCCATTTTCATTTGCTTTCATTTTATGGAAAAGAGCCACTTTGAAATTCTGACAAACCCCCCTTTGTACTGGTTTGGAAAACTATTGCATTTTTAATTTTAGGTGAACTTTTCCTTAATTTCTCCCTCTCTAACAACAAATACGAAATGAGCTGAACATCACGTAGAAACCGAAGAATACTTACAGCTCCAAAGGCCACTGAAAGCATGGTCTGCATACGGGCATCCTCAATGGAGCTGAGCACTCCTTTCTTACTGAGCAGGGCCCTGCCGGCCAACATCCAGAACCGCACGTGTTTTATCCCCACTGACACAAACTGAGTGTCTGAATCAGGCCGGAACTCTGCCACAAAGATCCTCTGGGTGTGACCGGCCCGACTTGCTACTTTGGCACCTTTGAAAAGAATTTCAGATCACAAACCTGATATAAAAGCAGAGTGCAGAGTGAATGCTGTGTGTGTGTGTGTGTGTGTGTGTTGACCTGTACCTTCCCGCCACTTCCAGATGGTGAGGGTGTGCTGGGGGTCCAGACCCACAGAAAGCAGCAGTTTGCCGGTGGCACTGAAGCTTACAGAGCAAACGCCCCTAGAATGATGGCAGCGCAGCACAGAGAGGGTCTGTTTGTTCATGGCTTCCCACACATGGATAGAGGGAGATGTGGCTGCAAATACAAAAAGACTTTATTTGTCCACTGTTGCTTAGATTTATAAAGTAATATAGCTGTATTCAAAAATTCAATTCTGAAGCATGCCAGAGATTCGATAATCCAGTGTCAGAGACAATGTTTCATGGCAACTCTGTATTTATAAAAAAAAATGGAGAGTGTCTCTTACCTGACATGTCACCAGCATCACCTAAGGGAACAACAACAGCAGTTCAACATGGTAGGAAAAAGACTTTAAATTACATAATTTTTAAAACCACTGGCTGTTGTAGCACCAAACACTCGGAAAACAATTTTTTTAAATTAAGAACAAATGTATCAAGCAACATGTGCAAATGGCAATAAGGTCAAAAGCACAGGTGCAACCATAAAAATAAAAAAAAAAGGATTCGAGAAATCACACGTTTCCTTTCAGTTGCAGAGAGCCATATTTGGCTCTATTTCATTGGGACCTTTTTTTCTCATCAAATTCTTCCAAGACCAGTGCTGGAGAGTAACTAGTTACATGTAATGGAATTACGTACTTTAATTACAAAATAAATGTAACTGTACTCTGTTACAGTTACTGAGAAAAAAATATGTAATTAAATTGCAGTTACTTATGAATATGTTAACACTTATAAAGGGGGTTACATCTGAACATTTTCACACACACATACAGATTTGATTGATTTCTTTCCCAAATTGCATTGACTGCTCTAAAATATGAGACACCAATGGAGTTTAGTATACAGAATAGGACACATGCTTATTTGATCACTGTTTTATTTCCTATTTGGGGTTGTGTATGTTCCTTATTTTTTAAATTAAATTTTTTTTTTCCAAGGCATTGTTAGATGCCAGTGTTTCCTGTCATAGCTATGCAAAGATTTGATTTCAAAAACAGTATCATAGCTATTAAACATAAAAAGAGGTGCTAAAGTCTGATGTTGTGGTGGCTGTGCTTTAAAATTAAATAAGTATAATCTTAATTCAAGTGATGAAGGATTCTGAAAGTCTGACATCAGTGTTGAGTTCTACTGTAAGGTTAACTCTGCCTGCTTTAAATGTTTGAAAATGATTAAGTTTAGAAAAATTTAGAAAAAAAATGAAATTTAAATGAAGAAAAGTAATCAAATGTAATCAGTTACATTACTTTAATAAAGTGATTGAAATAGTTACACTACTTATTACATTTTAAATATAAGTAATCTGTAAACTGTTACATTTCCAAAGTAACCTTCCCAACACTGTCCAAGACCAACTTCTCTAAGCTCTAACTGTATGTCTCTTTTGTTGAATTTTAGGAGAAACATCTGGGACAAAGTTAATACCAGGGCAGTCAAAGTGAGAAGAAAAAGGTGAATGTTTTCACAAACATACCTACTTGGCCAGTTGCCACCACGTTGGGGAACTTTGGGTGCTGATTAATAGTCAGGCACAGAATGTCATCACTGTGTTCCAAATAGAAACTCTGACAGGCTGAAGGCAAACAAACAGAAAAAAAAAAACAATAATGATTCTCCACAACATTTTTGTCACGTCTTCATGTCTGTTTGAAGGAACTCGATGAATAAAATCCATATCTAATCCACACTTGCTACTTACGCCCACTCTGGCACATTAAAATGCATTAAACATGCATTACATATGGCAGGTACCTAAGGGTTTTCTCCCCACCTGTTGTTAAGTTTAGGACGACCCCTACTGAGGCAGTGTGGTAAATAATGTCCGCCCCCTCATTAAGGTAATGCACATTGTTACGGCAGTCGTTGCCTCGGTAACCAAGCACCAGTTCAAGCACCAGGTCCTGCAGAGAGAGTCAAAGAGGGGTGTCTGAGGTCGTATCCATGACAACAGCACAGAGTATCTGGCTCTCAGAAACCGTGTTGCAGTTCAAACAAGAGAGGCAAGAAAGATCATCTATCCACTGAGGGGACAGAGCATACTACAAGCTACAAAACCAAAACACTACTAAGTAATTTAAAGTATACAGTACTATGTACAGAAAGATAGGATAGCGTAGCGACAGGACAAAACAGGAAAAGGAAAATGGCGGGAACCGGGAAGGGAAGGGAAGGGAAGGGAAGGGAAAGGGAGGCAAAGAGGGAAAGGGAAAGGAGAGGAGTATGCAGATAACCTGCATGAAAGGAACAGGAAAGGAAAAGGAAAATGAATGAGGAAAGGAAAGCAAAGCAAAGGAAATGGGAAAATAAAAAAGAAAGGAATAGAAAAAGGAAATGAATATGCAGAGCACCTGCATAAACAGAACAGGAAGATGAAGGAGAAGGAAAGCAAAAGGGAAAACAACAGGGGAAAAAAAGTAATATGTAAAAAGGGAAAGGCAAAATAATACGCAAAAGACCTGCAGTAGTTTCCAGCGCATGTTGAGGTTGTCTAACTGGCGGTTGGTGGTGGAGGACAGCTGGACATCCAGTGGGGTCAGCTGACCTGCCAGATCATTCACAGCTCGGACATCCTGTTTCAGAGGCGCGATCTCATCACGGAACACCTGAAACACACACAGAGAGAGAGAGAGAGATAAATAAATCACATTACCATCTTTATCTCTGCATATCGCCCAAACACAATTTAAATAAATCATCAGCCGGAGCGCTTGGCAATGACTCATAGCATGTGTGAGAGGTGTAACAGCGTCATCGTGGGATAAAACTATAAAAATAGCTTCAGGCAGGAAAATGATCAACTAGAATAATCCTTAAAGGAATAGTTCACACAAAAATGGAAATTCTGTCACTATTTACCCTCCCTTGTGTTCTTCAAAACCCAAAGGATTATGTTTCTTCCATGGAATACCTTATGATCGAGATGTTAAACTAAATGTTCACATAGTTCTTGTTCATACAATGAAAGTAAAATTGACCAGGGCCTGTCATACTGCAAAAATGCCAATTTTTTGGTATCTTTTATGCACCTTTTTGTCCTTTTTGAAGCTTCACAACCCCCATTTCCTAGTAGTGAAAAGCATCATGATGAATATCTTCTTTTATGCTCCACAGAAGAAAGTAAGTCATAC